GTGGACTCAATTTGCACTATTTCTGGCAGTCTGCAAAGGCTCTTGGTTTGCTTTAGGACCCATTCATTCATCTTTTAAGCACTCCACAATATCTACAGAACTCTCTTCTGTAGAATACCAAACATGTTTTAGCCTCTTTTTTTTTTTTTTTAAATTCCATCTGCATGTCAAAATACTTGTTAATGCAGGATAGGAAGTACAAGAAGTATTATTGTGCATAGTAACTGGAAGAGCACTGTTCAAGTTATATTTCAAAAAAGGAAAATGCAGCAAAATGTTTTAATTACAAAACACTATCACCCTTCGTCTCCAATCTCCCAGTTTGAAAGAGGAGATATGGCATTTGCTAACATCGCACCATCAGGAACATACTAGTATTCTATAAATATGTTGCCTACTACTACTATATGTTAAGTACCTCTACAAAAGAATGAGATTTTTAAGAAACACTGTGTTAACTTGCTTTAAAAATGCTAGGTAGGTCAAAAACAAAGCAAAAAAAAAAAATCCCTTTACCACAGGATTGAAATCATTTTTAAATACAGGGCTACCATGCATGTATGTACAGGTTTAGCACACAAGGATGCCATGCACTTGGGACATAGATCCCTAGTGTGGAAATGCTGAACACACAAGAATTGAAGTCTAAATTACATATTATTCCATCTGTATGAAAATAAATGCAGAGGGTCAATGTATAGCAGCAAACTAGTAAAGTGGTTTGGAGCAGGTTTATCATAGCATACTCAGATAATCGGATAGTCCCTATTTTGATAAGAGTTAAATACAGTACTTACATTGACCTGTGGATAAGTCAACCCAGGCTTTTGGGGTCAATTTTTTGACTAAATTCTTTTAGACTTATACGAGTATATATAGTACTCGATCACTCAGTATGATACTGTCTAAGTCCTACTGTTACACTGACATTGGATGTTTTTAGTTTTTGCACAATTTTTGGAGCCTAATTTGAAGTGGGCCTGAAAGATCCCAATGGAGGCTGTCCCTGAGCATTCAGCCTTGGAGGCATTTCCGTAATTCATGGGTACCTCCAACCAGGCATGCAATACTCCTCTGAGCACTTCCACACAGGCTGTGCCACACCTGATGCGCTTATCTTCCTGGCCCTTAGGGCACAGGCAAGGGATGGGAGGGGAAGATATACAACTCTTGGTTTGCTCATTTGGTATAAGCCCTGCAACATGATTTAGGACAAAGGCTCTGGATCAGATATTCTGTCCAGGGAGAGGGCCTTCTCAGTGACTGCTCCCAGGCTCTGGACCTCTCTCTCCCCATCTCAGCCTTCCTTTCCACAACAGGTTTCAAACTGACAAGAGCTGCACTTGTAAATACTGTGTAATTCAGATTTTAAGGTTTGGATAGAGTTTTTAATGCATTTTAATTTTTAATGTGTAATAATGTTTTTAATATTAAAATTGTTTGGTTTTCTTTAAAAAAAAACTTTGTATCCACATTGTGATGTGTTTGTATTGTTTTAACTTGTACTGTTTTATTGTTATCGGCTTTGAGCCCCTGTATCGGGAGAAAGGTGGGATATAAGTAAAATAATAATGGTGACGATGATAATAATAACAATAGTTTTGTAAGCACAAATCTTGTTTGCAAAACTAGCACAAAACCAGGTAGGCAATGCATTCACTGCCCCTCAGGAAGGAGGGAGAAGAGCCAACAAAACCATCCACAGGTGGCTGATGCCATCCAGTCTCTGGAGGGAAGGGAGGCTGTTGTGCTTGTTGCCTTTTCTCAGCCTAACAAAGAGGGCTGTTGACCTCACAAAGGATGGAGACATCTGGGATCTCAGAAGAAGTAACTTTTCCCATTGCTAACAGAATCTAGATTTTTACCTGCTGGACTTTGGAATGCTTTCTTTCATTGCCGGAAGGAGGAACCTGCTTGCAGAGATATCCCTCCACAGAACAACACACCAACAACACCTTGAGAAAATGCAACCTTCTGACAAACACTGTCAATTCATAATTTTTCCACCTGCGGTGTGATTTTTTTAAACACCTTTGCATCATCATCATCATCATCATTATTATTATTATTATTATTATTATTATTATTATTATTATTTATACCCCGCCCCTCTGTTAAAAACAATCGGGGCGGCTTACAACAATTAAAATACATCAAATTACAAGCTAAAACTCCCCAAACCCACCCTCCCCATTAAAAAAGTATTAAACTAACATCAATAAAATCTACAACAATCTTAAAAATCACAGGGTATATTAAACTAAGCAGCAGACAAGCCAAGAGCTCAGAGAAGACAAGAGGCACAGCTCCTGAAGCCGGGATCTAATCAGGAAAGGCCTGCCGAAAGAGATCTGTCTTTACCGCCTTTTTAAAACTACTCAGGCTCGTAATCTGACAGATCTCGTCCGGCAGGTCGTTCCATAATTATGAACAACCCAGTGGTACTTCGAAGGTTTGCAGCATGCATCTTGTACATTTTGGTTGGCCCCATAATGGTATCACTATTTCATGGATTTTGGATGTTGTGCCAACGTGGCACAGTGGTTTGAGTGTTGGACTACAACTCTGGAGACCAGGGTTCGAATCCCCACTCAGCCATGGAAACCCACTGGAGGAGCTTGGGCAAGTCACACACTCTCAGCCTCAAGGGAAGGCAATGGCAAACCCTCTCTAAGAAACCTGCCAAGAAACCCCATGGTAGCCTCGCCTTAGGGTCTCCGTAAGCCAGAAATAACTTGAAGGCACACCACAACAACAACACACACCTATTACCTAACAAGCCCCTCTTCCTGCTGTTGCCTCCTTCTTTGTCTCAATCAGTGTGTGTTTTCAACTTCTATGTTTTTATGTTGATTTTATACTGCTTTTAGTGAGATGCTTTTTAATTTTCTTCTTCAATTTTTTTATTGTAAAGGTTTTTTGTTTTTTTAAATTATCTTGTGAACCACCTTGGGTCCCTTTCTGGGTGGCATAGAAATCAAATAAATAAATAAATAAACAAAATAATTTAGGCATAGGTGTGGATATATTAAAAAATATTTTCTACATGTTAAGCATATAGGTATTTTTTTAAAATGCTTTTGCCCCCTGATCTCTCTCTCACACAAATTCTGTGTTTTAGTTGTTTTTCACTTCTGTCTGTTTTATTCATGTTATACTCTTTGAACAAGATGGTTTTTAATTGTCTTTCAATTTTTTCTTGTAAAGTGTGAACTGCCTTGGGTCTTTTTCTGGGAGTAGGACAGCATAGAAATGAAATATTTTGCCTGCTGATCTTTCTCTCCCTCTCTCTCTCTCTCTGTGAGTTTTAGTTATTTTTTTAACTTCTGTATCTTTTTATGTTCATTTTTATATTGTTTTTAGGTTTTGTTTTAAAAAAATGTTGTAAAGTTTTGGGAAATCTTTTTTTAAAATCTTGTCAGCCACCTTGTTCCCCTTTCTGCGAGAAAGGCAGTGTAGAAATGAAATATGTAAACAAAATAACTTAGGTGTAGGCATGGATATAAAAAAGAACATTTCCTACATGTTAAGTGCACAGGCCATTTTAAAAAATGCTTTTGTCCACCTAATAGCTCTCTCACACACATTGTGTGTTTTAAGTCCAAAACACACTGCAGAAATCATCCAGTTTGAGACCACTTTAACTGCTCTGGCTCAGTGCTAGGGAATGATGGGAACTGTAGTTTATTGTGGCACAAGAGCTCTCTGACAGAGAAGGCTCAATGTCTCACAAAACTCTAGTTCCCAGAATTCCATAGCATTGAGCCAGGACAGTTAAAGGGGTCTCAAACTGGATTATTGCTGCAGTGTGTTATGTTTTTAAGTTCTGTATTGTCTTTTTTTTTTTAAAAAAAATATTGTAAACTTTTTAAAAGAACAACAACATTTGTCAGCTGCCTTGGGTCCCTTTCTGGGAGAAAGGCAGTACAAAAAAAATTGAATATAAATATAAATAAATAGCACTGCAGAAAATAACCCAGTTTGTG